TTTATTTCCTTTTCATCAATCTCTTTGCTGGTGTAGAGGAATCCAACTGATTTTTGGATATTGATCTTGTATCCTGCCACTATGCTAAATCTCTCAACTAGTTCCAGTAGTTTTTTTGCTGAGTCTCTTGGATTTTCTATGTATAGGATCATATCATCAGCAAATAGGAATAGTTTTACTTCTTCTTTACCAATTTGGATGCCTTTGATTTCCCTTTCTTGCCTTATGGCCCTGGATAGGACTTAAAATACAACATTGAATACAAGTGGTGATAGAGGACATCCTTGCCTGGTTCCTGTTTGCAAGGGGAGTGGTTTCAGTTTCTCTCCATTGAGAATAATGTTGGATGTTGGTTTTACATATATCCCCTTTATTATGTTGAGGAATGTCCCTTCTGTTCCTGTTTTGCTGAGTATCAAGAATGAGTGTTGGATTTTATCAGGAGTGGGTGATGCCTTTTCTGCATCGATTTTTTTATGACCTGTTCAGTTTCTTCTTTTGTTATGGATCTGTTCAGATTTTCCACCTCAGTATGTGTTAGTTTAGGTAAGTAGTATGTTTCTAGAAATCTGTCCATTTCTTCTAGATTTTCAAATTTGTTGGAGTATAGTTCTTCATAGTATTATCCGTTTAATTTCTGTTGGTTCTGTTGTGACATCACCCAATTCATTTCTTATTCATGTTATTTGTATTCTCTCCCTCTTTTCCTTTGTTGAATTTGCCAGTGGTTTGTCAATTTTATTAATCTTTTCAAAAAAGAACTTCTAGTCTTGTTGATTTTTTCTGTTGTCTTTCTATTTTCTGTATCATTTATTTCTGCTTGAATCTTTACTATTTCTTTTCTTCTGGTAACTGTAGGCTTTTTTTGCTGCTCTTTTTCTAATTGTTGGAGATGTTGGGTTAAGGTGTTGATTTTGGCTCTCTCTTCTTTTTTGATGTGTGCATTTATAACTATAAATTAGCCTGCTTTTGCTGTGTCCCAGAGATTTTAGTATGTTGTGTTTTCATTCTCACTTGAATCAAGGAATTTTTTAATTTCACCTTTTAGTTCTTCTGTTACCCAGTTGTTTTCAAGGTGAGTGTTTTTCAGTTTCCTTATGTTTGCTCTCTTTTTTTTTTTTTTTTTGGTGATCTTCCTATTGTTGATTTCTGATTTTATGGCATTGTGATCTAAGAAGATGCTTTGTATTATTTCAATGTTTTTAAGTTTATTAAGCCTGCTTTGTGGCCTAACATATGGTCTGTTCTGGAGAATGTTCCCTGTGTACTGGTGAAAAATGTATATTGTGCTGTTGTTGGGTGAAGTGCTCTGTAGATGTCTATAAGGTCAAGTTGGTGGATTGCATTGTTTAGTTCTTTTGAGTCTTTGTTGAGTTTCTTTCCAATTGTTCTATCTTTCATTGAAAGTGGTGTATTAAAGTCTCCTAGTATGACTATGAAGTCATCTATTTGTCTTTTCAGTTCTGTTAATGTCTGATTTATGTGTTTTGGGGCTCTTTCATTGGGTGCATAGATATTAATTATTGTTATGGCCTCTTGGTCAGTTGCTCCTTTAATCATTATATAATGTCTTTCCTTGTCTCTTATGGTGGTTTTTGTCTTAAAGTCAGTTTTATCAGAAATTAATATTGCTACTCCTGCTCTTTTTTGGTTGCCATTTGCTTGATACATCTTCTTAACAACCATTGATTTGTAGTCTATTTTTGTTTTCGTCTCTAAGGTATGTCTCTTGTAGACAGTATATTGATTGGTTATGTTTTCTTATCCAGTCTGCAGCTCTCTGTCTCTTGAGTGGTGCATTTAATCAGTTGACGTTCAGTGTAATTATCGACAAGTATTAATTTGTTGGTGTCATTCTGTTATGTGTTTTTTCATGGTGTTCCTGGTTTCTTTGTTCCATATAATTTTCTGTGCTGAACTCCTTTTTTTTATGAATCATGTTATCATTTCCTTTGTTGCAGTTGTTTTACTATTTGCTACATATTTGTGCGTGTCCTCTTTTTATTTTGATGGGAAGGTTTATCATTTTTCTTTGAGGTTTCCCTGTGATTTATCGTTTTCTTCCCAAGTTTAGAACAGTCCATTCTATCTTGTCTTGACTTCTTCACCATTTAGAAGTTCTGTAACTACATTGTGTTTTCCCTCTTTTTGGTTTGTAGTTTTCCTCATTTGCCAATTGATGTCTCTGATTTCCTGCTTATAATCTTGTAAGCTTATTTACTTTGAATACTTCCATAACTGGGTTGGTTTCTGGGTTATGGCATCATGTGTGTTAATGGTCAGTTATTGTTTGCTGTTGTTGATTCTCTGTCCAGAGGACTTCCTTTAGCAACTCTTGTAAGGTAGGTCTGGCTTTAACAAATTCCCTTAATTTCTGCTTATTTAGAAATGTCCTAATTTTACCATATTTGAGGGACAGTTTTGCTGTGTATATAATTCTTGGTTGGAATTTTTTTTCTTTTGAGGTTTTATATATACCATCCCATTGCCTTATCACCTGCATTGTTTTTGCCAAGAAATCAGAGCTTAGTCTTATTCATTGCCCTTTGTAGATAATTTTTCACTTTTTCCATGCTGCTTTCAGGATTCTTTCTTTGTCTTTGGTTTTGGTGAGTTTGATGATAAGTCTTGGTGATTTTGTTTTGGGGTCTATCCTGTTTTGGGTTCATTGGGCTTCTTGAATGGATATATTCTTGTCTTTCATCATATCAGGGAAATTCTCTTCAAACAAATCATTGACAGTTGTCTCTGTGGTTTTATTTGTCTCTTCCTGTTCTGGAATTCCAATTACATGTAAGTTATTTCTCTTGATGGTATCCCACATGAATCTTAGGCTTTCTTCATTTTGTTTTGATCTTTTTCTCATTGATCCCTTTCCAAAGAAATATTGAGATGTTTGTCTGCAATCTCACTAATTCTGTCTTCCATTGATTCAGTTCTACTCCTTTGCCCATTCAATGTGTTATCTATTTCTGAAAATTCAGTATTAATCTTCTGGATTTCTGTGTTAGATTCTGTATCATTTCTGAGTTTTCATTTATTTTGTCATTTTGTTCTTGTATTGTCTTCCAAAATTGTTCTAGGGTTTTCTCTCTGTTTTTCTCAATTTTGTCAGTGTTTTCCTTGATCTGTCTCTCAATCCATTGAAAGTACCTAAATATAATTCTTTAACCTCCAGGAATTATCTATTTGTTTCCTGGGGAAAAGCATCAAATATTTTGAAGGTGCTCTTCTGGGAGCTGGGTGTACAGGAACAAAGATGGCTCAGAGCAGTTCCTCACTTCCCAGACCCACAGGGGTGGGGTGAGAGAGACCAAGCAGGCAGGGTCTGGAGGCCAAAGAACAGGAGGAACACATCCTGGGGAAGCGATGGGATGTGGGACCACTTGTGAGCCAAGACTCCATGCCCCTGGCACATGCTTCATTTACAGAACACAGATTCAAAGATAACCCAATAAAAACTTTCAAGACTGTGATGCGCAGCATTCAACCTCAGGTGGGGGGCTGCCCTGAGCACAAGGTACCCTGCATGCCTGCACTGGTCACATGTGTGTCCAGGAAGCCAGCCCTTAGAAGAGAGCAGCAGGATATTCTAAAGGTATTTCTGGGCCTCTGTTTCCTTTGAGTCACACAGAGGGGGATGCTCACCTGGCTCACAGAACAAAATGGGATTCACATAAGGTCACGTGCGGATCAGGAACTGGAAACCAGCAGGAAATAGAGACGCCTCTGGGGCTCGACCTCTTTCTCTCCCTTTCGTGGGGTTGTGTCTCTGTCTCCCTCATTTTCATAATACACTGGTTCCCTCTATTTCCTTAGTTCTTCCCTGGTGTATTGAGCACCTACTATGTGCTCAACATTGTGCTGCACACTTTGCGTGCGTTTAATCTTCATGACAGCTCTGTCATGTGGTGGTGATGATGGTGAGGATAAATAGCATTTATGGCTGGGAGGGTGGGCAGAAGTCATTCCTTATGGGGGCACTGAGTTTCTGTTAAGGGTGATGGAAAAATCTGGAAATGTCTAGTGGTGATGGTTGCACAAAATGGTGAAAGTAATTCATGTCACTAATTTGTACACATAAAAAATGTTAAAATGGCAAATGTTTTGTTACATATTTTTAACTTAATTAAAAATAAACATTTATGGATGCTTCTCTGGATCAAGGACTTTAGGCATGTTTACAGATTAAATCCTCCAACAACCCTATGAGGCAGTTATTAGTACAGATGAGGAAACTAAGACCTAAGGGGCTTAAATAAATTCTGTATGGATAGCTTGTAGGGGACAGAGTTGTTATTGGAGCCCAGGCAGTCTCAGGACCTCCATTATGCCCCCATCAACTCATGGTTTCTGCCCTCATCCTGCCTCCTTGCACAGGTACCTGTGGACACCCCAACTTCTTTCTGTAGGACATGACATTTTAGCTTTGGCCTTTGCTGCCCCCAGCACCCTCTCATAGCACTGCCTTGGCCAGATTCCCAACAGAGGGCCTCCTGCTGGCCCAGCTCACCTCAGGGCAGTCCTCATGGAAGTTGCTGGTCAGCTTTTGGAGCAGCTCCTCTTGGGCCAAGACCCCATCTAACTGGTCAGCTGTGGCTGGGGAGGAAAACAGAAGGAATATGACTTCCCCTGTGGCTCACCCCATGAAGAGTGTCCCTCAGAGGGCTGCCTGTCACAGGCCTGGAGTTGAGGCCTCATCTGAGGGAGGAGGCAGCACATCCTGACCCTTAGTCTAGGCCAAAGCTGCTCCTGAAAAATCTTCTATCACAAAGTCAAAAACAGGGGATCCCAGCTGAAGGGACAGGCTACCATTACCAAGCAGTAATGGGAATATTAGCTCTCTCTTAGGATCAGGTATTGGGTTGACTTCCTTTGTGGCCTGGGGCTTCCTCACTGCTTTCATGGCCCTGGTGGGGGTGAGAGCCCCATTTTTCATGTGGTCTCTGGGTTGCCCTCTATCACCCTTACATTCTCTTTCCCCTGTTTGTGCGTGGCAGAGCTCCACCTGGAAGGGAATTTCCTGCACCGCCTCCCCAATGAGGTCAGTGCCCTGCAGCACCTCAAGGCCATTGACCTGTCCCGGAACCAGTTCCGAGACTTTCCTGAGCAGCTCACCAGCCTGCCGGCACTGGAAACCATCAACTTGGAGGAGAACGAGATAATAGGTGAGTGGTGGGTGAGGGTCTCAGTGCCAACCCGGCCCATCTGGTCCCAGAGGCTGCTGTTGCCTCCTGCACACCCACCATCTGCTGAACAAGGCTTTCATGGCTCGACCTCTGGAGTGAGCCTTTCACAGGTGTGAGGGAGGGTTGGACTTCCTGGTCTGGGATGCTGAGCAATGGGTACCGGACCTGGCATATAACCACTACATAGCCTTGCCACCTGCTGGTGCTGGCTGGCCACTTAAAGAAGGCCTTGCCTTTCTTCACTGCACAGCCTTGGACTAGCTGGGCAACCTTGGGCCACAAGCTCTCCCTTTCTGGGTCTCCATCTGCTAGTATAAGCTATCTCTAAGACCTTTTAGGCTAACCCTCTGTAAACTAATTACTACCCTAATTACTATTACTCTCCCTTCCTGCCTTCACAGGGAGCTCTCACCATTATTAATCAGGGGCCATCAGGGGAACATGTTGAGAACAGCCCCTCTGCACTGTCTACTACAGTATACTCTCCTGTCAGCCTAGCCTCCTGGCACTTGCACCAGCAGGGACCCTATCTCTCTGGGTCTGAATTGTGCAGGTTCGAGGGGGGAGTGTTCTGCTTAGGTGGGAGCAGTCCTTCCCCTCTTGCAGCAGTCACCTACCTCCCCATCTCTTCAGGTTACCAGAAGTGCCAGCTCACTGTCTAAGCTCCCCAGAGAGGACTAGTACTTACCAGGGTCCCCCTGCACCCTCTCCCCCTCAGCTCCCTCCTTCCGCAGCCTGGCTTAGGAAGCTGTCTTCAGCCCCATTTCACCCTCTCTCTTGTTGCCTCTACTGTCAGTGCTGTCTGATATCAATGGTAATAATAACCCTCTCCAGTTATGCTTTTATTTTTGTAAGCTCTTCCACAGCTATTATGCCATTTGATTAAAAGTAAGAGATTTCGAGTGCTTGAGAGCTGTCTGGTGGGGAATGGCCTGCCTCATGAGGTATGAGCACCCTATCTCCCAGGGGTGATACAGAGGGACTCTTGCCATGGCTGAGTGGGAGGTAGGACCAGCAGAGCTCTGAGGGTCTGAGGTTGCCTGACTCCATTCTTTCTTAAATGAGTAAACTGAAGCCCAGAGAGATCATGAGAGAGCATCAGGTCACACAGCGAGTCTGCAGAAGAATACAGTACTCCATAGCTCTGCCCTGTGCCTGGGATGGGGCTCCTTGGTCTCTGGGCAGGCCCTGAGGGTAAACTCCATCTCAGTCATGCTTTCTCAAGACCAGATCCCCTAGGTGGCTTGCTTCTGGGTTGGCATCATGGTCACTTGGGCATTGCAGGACTTGAGCAAATGAGAAAGGCATGGACAGAGAGCCTTTCCACTGTGAGGCACCTCCTTTCTGTGCTGGCCAGATCACCCAGGCTCTTGGCACCAAACCCTGTGTTCCTGCTGGGTCCCCTTTGCTGGGCCCTTGCTGTCCTTCCTTTTACTCATTAAAGCCTTCCCTGATGCCTCTGCTTCCTTTTGCTTCCTTGTCCAAAGGGGGCAGTAGCCCAGCAGGGGCTACTCCTAGCTGATGCCAACACCAGAGCTGGGCGTATTGCTGGCAGGCAGGAGGGTCAGGACAAGCCCTGGCTAGTGGCCGCTCTGCTTCCTCACTGCAACCCTGGAAAACTCGCACACCCTCTCTGCACCTCAGCTCCTGCTTCTTGCCCCAGAGGTGGTCAGAGATGAGAAGGTGGCTGTTCCCCAGGCAGGGAGCAGGCTGGTGGCATCTGTACTGACTGCAGCACAGGGTGACATACCCACTAATGCTTCCCCTCCCAAGGCTGACAGCATCCTTCAGGAGCAACAGCCCCAAAGCCAAGGCTGGCTGTTTTACTTATGCTTTCATATGCGTATCTGTGCTTTCCTGCAGTGTGACAGTCATAACCCTTCCACGTGGAAGCATCTTAGTTTACCACGAATGCCCATGTGCACTCCTACGCACCATCATCCCCATTTGACAGATGTAGAAATGAAGGACCCAAAATATTCTCCTAGCCTTCATGGCCGAGTGCCTGTCTCATATCTGGCCAGGCAAAAGTCAAGTGCAACCTCCAGGCTATGCTTCCTGTCAGTTCAGCCTGTGACAGAGCCCTTCTACTGTCTAGCCTCGGCCAGATCTATGGGGTATCTTGGGGCTCTGAGTCTAGGAGAGACTCCTATTTTTTCCTAAGTACCAATTGCTCTCCAGGGTGTTTAACTGACCCCAACCTTCTGCTTTCTACCCCTCCCCGATCCAGCTGTGCCAACAAATAGTGAGGGGAGGATCGGCCTTTGCAGCTTCCCAGCATCCTAGTTACTTGAGTGGCTTCTCAATTCCCACACCAGGGGAAGGGCCAACCCAGCCTTAATAGCCCGGTTGGAGGGAAGTGAGCATGGAAGCGCAAGGAGAAGGGGACTGTGATTACAGCAAAGAAGGCAGCACTGCATAGGCCTTCATTATGGAAATAGCTTGGCACTGTTTGCTGCTATAGCCAATCTCCTGCAGAAACTCATTGGGATAATTGTAGGGGAGCTTAGGATGCCTTCACAGTGGCTTGTTGTTCCCCTTCAGAGCCCTTAGAAAGTGTTAGAAAATAAAAAACAATTTCTCTTTGAGAAATAAATTTGAGACATATGAATTTCCTTAAAGCCGTGGTTCAGTATGCAGCCAACAGGTGTCTCTGAAACAAGCCCCCGGGGCATCTGACTGAGCCCTTCCTGTCTGACCTCCCCAAATGAAAGACTCAGAGGGAGGATGCTCGCAGCCTCTTGTGTCTGCATAGTGCTGTCTCTAATATACTGATCTACCTCCACCCTGCGGGGAGAGGAGGCCAGAGGACTCCAACCCCTGGAGGGGAGGAAGGGACCTGTCTACGGCTGAGAGGCAGAGATGTTTTTGTCTGCTTTCTGATGCCACCCCCAGGAGATCTGGCGTTGCCCATTCCTGGGGCTCCCTGGTGGCTGTGTGCCCTCAGGCCTCACGCGTGGGTAGCACAGCCTGCCTTGTTGCCTCCATCTTGTGCAGACAGCCCTGTGGTCCCTGTGTGTGACCTTTCTCTGTCCTCCAGGCCAGTCGCCACTTCCTTGCATCTTGGGAGCTGCCCTGCCTTCTGCCCCACTCAGCATCTAGCATGGCGTCTGGTATACAACAGGTGCTCAGTTAGTTGGGACACTGTGTGGAGCAGGAATTCTAAAGCCTTGGCGCCCCATGAATTTACAGATACGAAAAGGCAGATGCAGTTTGCAGGTTGGGACCCATTAGGGAGTTGTAAAGGCAAGTTAGTGGGTTGAGATCAGCAATTTTTTAATTAAATAGAGTAGAAAATTATGAGCATGTATCACAGGTAGTGTGATAAATATGGTCCTGTGAAGCTTTGTGCTTTGGTTTTACTATGTACATACACAGCTATGTGTGCCAGGTCGTGATGTAAAATGGATTTCTTCTGTGGGTTATGAGCAAAAATACTGAAAGCCACTCCCGTGAGTTGTCTGCAGTGATCTGGAGGGTCTATTATTGACCAGCCTGGCCTCTTGTCCCACAGCCGTACTCTCAGCCACACTATTCAGTCTTCCTTGTCCTGCAGCCTGTATTCCCAGCCACGCTATTCAGTCTTCCTTCCTGTCATCTCCACCGCCATCTCTCTTCATTGTGGTCACATCACTTGGCTGAAAGGGGTGGAGTGAAAGTGGACAGTGAGGCCCCAGCACAGCATGGAGCCAGGTGGGTGATAAGTTTAACACCACCTGTTTACCGCCACTCTACTCATATAGCCCTTCCTGGCCTGTGCTCTCAGCCTGGAAGTCCTTCCTCATCTCTTACCATTTTCTCTGCCTGTGACTAAATCCAGAGTCTGAAGGCTGGGGCCCAGGTCAGATGAAAAGGAGGCAGAGGAGGTCGAGGAGCCACTTCCCTCTCCCCGGCTGGCTCCCTGGCAGACTACAGAGTGGCGGATAACTCCCACTGGGTAATCTCCAGTATACACTCATTTCTCTTGAGCCCGTCTAAGGAGGAAGAAAGGATTGTAGCTCAGAGGATTTGTTCAGACAGCAGTCATTTACAAGTTATGGGGATTTGGGACAATTCCTATATTTTGCAAACCAGAAAGTGGTACTTGGAAGCTTAGCAGTATTCATAAACAAAACTGCCTAGGAAAATATAGCCTCTGTAGAAACAGGAGCTCCAAAGATGAATGAGATGCAGGTCCTGACCTCAAGTTGGTTCCAGTCTGGAAGGAGGCAGTGTGAGAGCAAGCAACTATTAAACTGCTGGATGGTACATGGTTGTAGCCTTAACAGGGGCAGAGTGACAGGGAGAGGATTCCTGGGCTGAGGGTGGCTGTCCATGCAGGTACTCATCTTGAGAGGATCCAGGGATGATTGCTTGGAGAAGGGGAGGTGTTTAATCTGGACCAAGAATGAGGAAGTGGGGACAAAATGGGTCACATGACAGCCTTTGAAGATGAGGCAGTGAGTTTTTATCTGAGCAGCCACCAGGCCAGTTTTGAATGTGGGCAGGAGCAGAATCAAGTCCAAGCCACTTACCCACAAGTACTTGATGTTGCAAAGCAAGTTAAAGCTCTGGAATATGTCAGGGTGATGAGAAAATCAGTATTTCGTGAACTCCATTCTGCTAAGCAGGAGATTACTTCAGTTAAGCTAGAATTCAGCTTTCCATAACCCTCAATTTTCTGTTTTTCCCTGTGTACTCACCGTTCTAGAGAGAGCAAGTGGTCACAGGAAAACAAGTTCTTATTAAGAATGTGATCAGTAGAGCAGTAAAACTTCCAAAAATAAAGGTACCTGTATCGGATAGGGGAGCTCTGGTGGTGTAGTGCCTAAGGCACTTGACTGCTAACCAAAAGGCTGGCGGTTCAAACCCCCCAGCCACCCCTCCGAAGGAAGGTTGGGCAATCTACTTCCGTAGTGATACTGCCTCGGAAACCCTCGGAGAGGTTGCTGTGAATCGGGGCCGACTCAGCAGCAGTGATTTTGATTTTGATTTTGGTA